TTTACACAACATATTATTTTCATACAATTTATTGACATTGGAAATTGGCAAATTGCTTGTCATCAATCCGAACACAGTTGAGATTAAGGTGGTGATGAGACATTGAATACCCTCCCTGTTAGGCATAATAGTGTCACTATGTACTATAAAGTGCCTTTTTTTTTTGCAAATCTGCCGGTCAGTTCAATCATCTCTCTTCCATGGCTTGGTAGTAAACGATGATCAATATTAGATGCAAATATAGATTTCTTGATAAATAATTGCAGGGCCAGAAATCCTTAGCATTGGATACAGCAATTGGAATGTGGCAGCTGCTATTTGCAGAAAAGGATTGGCCTCTGGTTGAACACTGGTGCCAGTTCCTACAGGTGACCTTAAATCATCTTGTAGTACAAGTTTGTAATTTTTGCAAATTGACTAATCTGCTTTCCAGGAAATCGTTTATTTTTTTAATGTAAATAATGGAACGGTTTGGTGCATTTATCAACTTAGGCTCACCATAACAAAGCCATCTCACGTGATACCTGGGCTCAACTACTTGAATTTGCTAGAGTAAGCGATTTGGACAATTTTTTCTTTCTTCACTATATACACAATCTTGTATTGGAAAAGACAACAGCGTGTCTATGAATGGGATTGTTTGTTTGATGTTGATGTTGGATGACACGCAGAGTGTGGAGCCTTTGTTAACAAACTATGATGCTGACGGAGCCTGGCCGTATCTGATTGATGAATTTGTTGAGTACCTGATTGAAAACTGTATAGTGCAGCGCAAATGAAGCAGAAACAAATTACTATTTGCTGCAACTGCTGCTACTGGATACTTCTGTCATCCATCGCTGCTGTGTACTATTTATTATCATCACTCCTTGTCATTTAACAGACTTCGGTTTTTCTTTAGTCAGCTTCATATGAAAGAAAGAATTGTTTAGGAGATTTCTTGACTTTTGTGGTCATATAATTGTTCTTGGGGTTTGTATTTCTGTACAAAATACAGTACATAATGTGTATTGTGTTGAGATTTGCATCGTCCAGCATACTTCCACATTGGATTGAAGAAGCCAATACATTGTTTGCTTTAAACACGATGGTGATGATGATGATTGTTGCATTGATTATGGCTTTTTTGCTTTACCCCATTCTTTTACCTTACACAGAGGCAACATGAGGGATGGTCTGAACCTCGATTTCACCTACTTTTACTTGTTTAGGTAAGAGGCCTACAGTGAGCGTCTAGATGAGGCGAGAGATCGAACATATAGTCATATACCCGTGGGCATAAGGGGTGTCACTGGCAATAACCAACATCATACAAATTATGCCTCCCTTGGGCATAGGGATTGACTCGGGCCGGGTCAACTGGCTCATAACCAGCCCGGCCTGGTACTGTTTCGGCTCAGTCTGGCCCGGTAACTCGGGTCTTTGCCCGGTTCGGGCCACCCGGACCGTATTTTTCGGGGCGGGTTCCGGGTCTAAAAAATGAACCGGCCGGGCCAGGTTCGGTCCAAATTTTATTTTATTTTTGGTTTCACAAATTTTTTTGGGAGGTAAATGGGCTGGGTGTTTTGGATGGGTCTGGGGTAGGGATGGACTCGGGCCGGGTGGCCCGACCCGGAACCGGCCCGGCCCGACCCGGTGGCCCGGTCAGTGACCGGTCCGGGTAGGCCCGGCCCGTGGGTTTCCGGTTCGGGCTCGGGTCACCCAAAACAAGGCCCGACCCGGCCGGGCCCGGACCCGGTTCGGGCCAAAAAATATTTTTTTTTTCAATTTGTTTTTACATTTTCGGGTTGGGCTGGGTATTTTGGGGCATTTGGGGTGGTTTGGGGGGTTGGGGGTGGGAGGGGGGTTAATTAGGAAGAGGAAAACAAAAAAAAATATAATGGGCCCGGCCCGGCCCGGACACGGACCGAACCCGGTGGTTACTCGGGCCGGTCCCGGGTCCACCATTTCTGACCCGCCGGCCCGCTCGGGCCTAGGCCCGACCCGGCCCCGTCCCGGACCCGAGTCCAACCCTAGTCTGGGGTGTGGGAGGGGCTGGGGCCGGACTCGGTAGCTACCTGAGCCGGTTCCAGGCCTCAAGAAAAAAACCCGGTCAGGCTCAGCCCGAGGCTCGGCTAGGGATGGACTCAGGTTGGGTCAACCGGCCCAGCCCGGTACTGTTTCGGGGCAGGCTCAGGGTCTTAAAAAATGAATTGGCCGGGCTAGGTGTTTTGGACTAGTTTGGGGTGTGGGTGGGTGGGGTTGTGGGGGGGGGGGGGGTGTAGGAAGTAATTAGAAAATCAAAAAACAAAATTAGGTAACCGGACCACGTCCCCACCCGGACCACGTAGCTACCCGGGCCGGTTCTGGGCCTAAAAAATCCCAAAAAAAGCCCGGTCAGGCCCGGCTTGAGTCCATGCCTACTTGGACATCTCCTGAATTGGCTCACAAGAAAGTGGTAATCATAAAACCCGTTTTGACAATATTCAGGATTAAGCCATGGAGGCTCTAAAGAGGCGGGTTAAGTAGGTGGTGAGGTTAGGGATGGACTAGGATGGGCTGGACCGATCCGGGACTGATACTGTTTGTATTGACCCGGGCCTGGTTACCTGGGGTCGGTACTGACCTGGTGGACAAGGGAGGCGTGTTTCGGCCTACTATTTTGGTCGACCAGCCCGGGCTAGGGGTGGACTCGGGTCTGGGCCGGGTCCGGGTCGGGCCTAGGCCCGGGCGGGCCAGCGGTTCAAGGATGGTGGACCCGGGACCGGCCCGGGTCCGGGCCTCCGGTTTTTTTTTTTTTTTGCTTTCCTAACCCCCCACCCCCCACCCTCCCAAACCCCCCCAAACCCATCCTACCCAGTACCCATCAAGCCCAACCCGGGTGGAACCCCAAAAATGAAAAAAAAAAAAAAAAAAAATCAATTTGGCCCGGGCCCGGGCCCGACCCGGCCGGGCCGGTTCACCAAAATTGAGACCCGAGCCCGGACCCGCCCTACCCCCGGGCCTAGGCCCGACCCGGACCCGGACCCGGACCCGAGAACTGGGCCGGTCCCGGTCCCGCACAGTAGCGGGCCGGACCGGTCCACGGGCCGGGTGGCCCGACCCGAGTCCAAGCCTAGCCCGGGCCTAACGGTCACAATTTCAATTTCTATTCAATTAAATTGTTGGGGCTGCTACTAGCCGTTGGCAATGGCTCGGTGGGGTTGGGCGGTTTGGGGGGGTTTGGGTAGTGGGGGTAAAACAAATCTATAAATACACCTATTTTCTAAATATTTTTTCCTACACCTATTCTCCAATTCTTCCTACACTCTAATACTCTCTAATCATTTTCATCTTCTCTAATTCTCTCTACATCTATTAATATACGATAGTATATTATATCTATTTAAATTAGTTATACAATTATTATCTACTTGTATTTACATATACTAGATTTTCACGTGCGATGCACGGGTCATAAAAAATTCAAAAATTTATCCTATTCATTTTGCATAGAGTATTTTAATTTGTGATTTAAAAAGAACAGTTTAAATATTGAGAAACAACGGTTGGGATTAATAAATTGGGAAGTAATATGTATTCATAATTCAATAAATTCAGTTACTTTAGCCAAATTTTCATCAATTTAATTGATTTAGCCAATTTATCAATTTCAATATTACGGAATTTAAACTTTTGTCAATCTATGATATTTTAATGATAACAAGAGTAAAAATAGCTACTATAACAAGAATAAAAGATAATAATAATATTAACTATTATAATTATTACTCCCGGTAATAATAATAGCTACTATTATTATGGGATAATGGCAATATTAGCCCGGTAACTTGCTATTCTATATATTATAACATCACTCTATTGCATATTAGGTCCTGTAAATAATAAATTTTTGTAATTTAAAGTCTTTTCTACCGAAAAGAACATTTTCCGGTCATACATTCACCGGAAATGATGTTGTTGGTGTTGGGTTATGAACCGGAAAATATACTTTTCAGTGAAAAAGTCCTTACATGATAAATACTTATTCGTTACATGATCATATTTGCAATTAAGTAATTTACGGGATGAATAACGAACACAACACAAAATTATGTGACTAAAATTGCAATTTTGAATTTGTAAAATAGGAATTTTATCAATTTAGGATCCGAAAGATAGAGTAATTATCAATTCGGGACGTGAAAGATAAAATGCATCGATATAGGACCCGAATGATGAAAAACTATCAATTTAGGACCTGAATGATTGAAAACTATTAATCTAGGACCTAAGTTCTCATAAATTTTTTAGGAAAAATTGACAAAAATAATCCCACCTTTCGCTGATCTTCTCATAATAATCCCACCTTTAGGTAATCCCATAATAATCCCACCTTTGCACCACATCTTCTTTCATTGGACCCTAACCATGTTTTTTACTCTTTTTGTGAAAATCATATAAATAATCTTACCTCTCACTTTTCTATTATATCTTTATAAATGTGAGATTATTTATATAAGATTTTCAAAGAAAGGTAAAAAACTTGGTCAAGGTCCAATGAAAGAAGATAGGGTGCAAAGGTGTGATTATTTTGGGATTATGTAAAGGTAGAATTATTATGAGAAGATCAGTGAAAGGTGGGATTATTCTTGTCAATTTTTCCATTTTTATATTAAAATTTTTTAAATATTATTTCGTTTTATTAAACTAATAAACTTTTGTGAAGAAAAGTTTATCAAAAATTAGTAATGGAATTATTAAAAAATTGAATAAATCAAAACCTATGAAACGTTAGGTCCTAAATTGATAGTTTTCCATCATTCGGGTTCTATACCGATACGTTCAATCTTTCGAGTCCTGAATTGATAATTAATCTATCTTTCGGATCCTGAATCGATAAAATTCCAAAAATAGAACCTAAATAAATTAGATTTTGAATTTTGTATTAGGATGACCTTGCTCCACTTGTGCCGCTCCCTTACTCGTCCTCGGGGGTAACAAACGGGTCATTGTCATCGATGTCAATTGAAATTGGTTGTGTTTCGGGTTCTTCCTCATCACCTATTTCGGGAATGGTGGTTTAGTGTAGAAAATGATGCCTCAACAATTGTTTCATTTCCTTAGGCTATCCGCATTGCAAAGAGTCAAACTCCCAAATGTAAAGTTTTGACTCCACAATTAGCTGCAACCCAAGCAAGATTTTGTTCCACAGAAAACAAATTATGGTAGTCAAGGAAGAGGTAAAAGGGAAGAAAAACTTGAAAATGGCAAGGTCTCTTTCGGGTATAGGAATCCAAGCTCATTTTCATTTTCATTTACCCCAGTGCCGCAAAGGCTCCCATCTACGGTGGGGTAAGGGGGTCGGATGTACGCAGTCTTACCTTTGTACTAAAACACAGAGAGATTGTTTCCGGATGACCCATAGTGAAAATCGCGTCCAAAATTGCATGGACTGACTGTTGCTCCATAACAAAGAAGCGCAGACAGTTTAGTGAGCCATTTTGCTTTATTCCATTATAATCTCAGGCCAAAAAATAATGAATCTTTGGTTAGTGAATCTTTGGAATCCAAGCTATTGTAGAAAAATTCAAAGTGAACGTTGCAGAAGAGGCTATGGGGGAAGCCGCGTGTGGCTGGTTTCAATGGTGGTGGCCGGTGGGAATATCAAAAGAGAGAAGATAGTTGGAAGGCTCTAAAGAGACCTTGCCATTTTCAAGTTTTTCTTCCCTTTTACCTCTTTCCATCTTCTCTATCCATTGGTATGCTTCATCCTCGTGGAATATAGCTAATTCCTCCGTCTTTGAACTAGCTGAATTCCGAGAAACAGCTTTAGAAGAAGATGGCGAACTGTGAGAATCCTTTGGTGGAGAAGAATATTCTCCTTTCAATCAAGTCTTTCTTGAATGTGAATCGATGGCCGATGAGGAATTATGCGAACTCTAATGCGAAGAGCGATGATAAGAATGATGAGAAGAACTCGAAGAGTGATGTGAAGAGCGTTGCGAATAAACAGTTCGCGAATCCGTCTTCGATCACGGATGAGGCTTACTGTTCCTCGTTCGGTCGCCAGATTTTCTGTGATGCCTCCGCTCTTCTGAGTGCTCTGGACTCGCTGACCTTCGTGTGTGATGAAGATGAGATTCGCGATGCGATGCTGTGACGCATGCGATCTGTTCCGCGAGCGACTCTGGACTTTATTTTCCAACCTTGCGATGTCCGTCTTTATGAGTGCCAAGGTCGTTGCCATAGTCGCCATTGTTGCCGATGTTTCTTTTTGTTTTCTTTCCAGGTCATTAATTCTTCCTTCCATTTTGCGCACGTGTATCTCAACCAGCGATCGAAGTCTCTGATATCAATGATAGAGAACTCCTAGAATCCAGAACAATTACAGAAAGGGATCAAGAAATCAAACTGAACATCATTAGAGAAGATGAACAGTAATAGTAACAAATGGCACCCCCAGATGAGCCGAAGCCCCCCTAAAAAAAAGAAACAAGCTCTAACTTCCCAGTCTAAGACAAAGTCTAAACACTTTTAAGGACCAATGGCAGCATCAGTACTGGCATAGCCTTTTTCCCACATTGCAGTCCCTTTTTCCCTTTAAATAAACATAAAAACGTGGGTGACTGGTTGGGATACTTGAGACCTATTTAATTAATATTTTCTCTTTCATTCATCTTTTTCTTGAAGATTGTTTTATGACCGCTGCAATTTTGTATCACTAGAGATATGACAAAAAGGTCATCTTATTTGAATGTTAATATGTATTTTTATGTTATATTTTTGTGAATATTAGATCAGTCAAAATAAGCTTTAATTTATTGGTTTTTACTTTGGTTCCTTGATATGGCCAACAAAAGAATATCGTTGGAGATCTATTCAACATTCCCTATAGAATAAAGTGCATGTATTGTGAAGCAATATGACTGCATGTTACGTTATTGAAGAAGGTATGGGTTTAGACCTATGCCTTGAGGTCTTATTTGTAAGGAGTACAATATAAGTTTGGTTGTGTGATAAACTGTTTATAGGTCTGCAGGGCTGCACAACAATAATCAGAGAATATGTTATGAAAGCTCACTCCTTATTTATACGTATATTTATTATTTTGTCGTGTGATCTTACTTCTATTTCTAACTTTTAATTAGGATGAGTGGATGACATTAATATGTTTTTATCCTAAACTAACCTTTGTCTTTTTTTAAGAGAACTAACATGCATACGGTTTGGTTAATGAAATTTGTGTCACTCGGGTAAACTGGAACAAAAGCATTTTGTTCGCTTGGTTCCTCAGGGTATGTGACTGTTAGCTTGATTGGTAATTTGTCACGCAGGGCATGTGTGCAGTGTGTTTTTCATCCATTCTCTTGATGCTCTTATGAGTTTCAACTTCTTATTACTTTAGGAGCTATTTGTATTCCGTTTTGGAGATCTTTGTCCGACTTTACATTTATGAGATTTTAATTTGTTGGGGGATTGATCTGCATTTTTACTTGGGTTATTGGAGCTGAATAATTGGGTGTTGTGGCTGGTCAAATATTTGGCATTGAGTTGTGGCTGATAGGATATTCAACTGGTAGCAAATATTTCCCAGTTGTTTCTCTTCATCCCTTTCTCCTTCTCCGATAGTCGTTTCAGTCTCCTACTCCACATTTTCGATTCACAAAGCCTTTTTTAGCCCTCCCTATTGATACATCTTGTTGTCGTTTCGGTCTCTGGCTGAGTGGCTGCCTTATTCCGTCATCCGACATCCAACTCAGCACTGACAAAGAGTTTTTGTTAGGAACCCTCAAGAGCAACCCCAACAAATGTTGGATCCCATGGTATCATAATCACTCCACCAACTAATGTAATAAATTAGACTTCTCAGATGTTCCTAGAATAATATAGTGTTTTATAATCACAAGTTGGATTTGTAAGCGGGTCATGCCCATCACCCTCTCCAAAAAACAATATAGAGAAACTTCAACATTAACAATATATTTTATTATCTATACACGAGCTTTTACCTATGACAATCTTTGTTCTCTTCCTCTTCCATACCTACTTAAATATATTAATAAACTCTTTTGGAATATATAATAAAGTTACTATGAAATTGTAACACCCCGGCCCCGTAGGCCCCGAGGTAGTTACTTCTGACCTCTAGTACTGTCCTCACAAACCTCCACTAGCCTTTTCCGCACACTTTGTCCTCACTCGTGCGCACCCTGAGAAACTTCCCAGGGGGTCACCCATCCCAGGACTACTCCCGTGCAAGCACGCTTAACTTTGGAGTTCTTGGTGATGAGCTCCCTTAAAAGGAGATGCATCTTGTTGGTATGAGTAGTACTATTAATCCATTTAAATTAAATCTCAAGTGTTACAGAAATACTCATTGTCCATTAACAATGCTATTTCATAGTATTTGATGCCCAAGAGTCCTAATCATTTTGAACAACTGGAGCGCATGCAAATGGTAAAATCTTTACTGTGGGAGGGAGACAATGCATGGTTTTAAAGGGCATTTTTAGGCGTGTTTGAGAGATTTGAGGCACACTAATTTAAACTTGAAGTTACCTATGTTGTCTCTATTCTGCAGATACTAATGTTACTATAATTGTTAAAAGTGAGACAATGACCTTATCTCACTATACAATATCATTTCCTTTTTCGTTATGTTGGTTTAATCCTGTTGATGAAATGAACTCCAGAACACAACCCCTTGCTCCAAAGTAGAATGGCACTCGATGGATGAAAGAAACTGGGATGATATGATCAAAGAGAGCATTGCACGGACATCAAAATGATACAAAAGAGTGTGAATGAATCTTTGAGGACATGCTTCAATGGGATAAGCTTCTACTTAGTACCTTTTTTTATCCAAAAGCAGTTGAATGTAAATTTTCTGTGTTTACATTGGCTTAGACTCATCTTAGAATAAGCTACTTCTTACATTATTTTGTTTAAAGGATGTTAATTACATGCTACTGAATATATAAGTTAATAAGAAAATAGTAGGCATACTCAACCCATTAAGGTTTATGTGTATTGAACACAACACAAACAACTAGGACAAAATAACCGCATTTGTCATTTTCACTTAGAATTGTGTGTAGGAACTATTCAGTTTCGTTTAGATTTCGATTTGGTTACTTTATTGAGTGAAAGAAAATGAATACATGATTAGCTTCTATGTTTTGTGTTATTGTGTTAATATCACAAAATTGGTAAATGTTATACTTTTGGTTGGTCCATATAATCGACATCATTACACCATTCATTTTTCTTAGAGCTACAGATATTCAGTATGATTGTATTTCATGTTATTTCACGTACAACGTTATATTTTTCACTTATAAGTTGTTGATGTTATTAGTAATAAGTCTAATGTATTACAATTTTCCTTTATTCTTTTAAGAAAAATCAAAGGGACCTTATTCATGAAATTTGATACTCTTTAGGCATTCATTCATATGTATATAATTTTTTCACACACTCATGTATATATGTTAATTTTTTTCCAGTACTTCAAGATCTTGCTGGAAATTGCTCAGAGTAAAGGGCAGCAATTCTCCGCACCTAACGAAGAATTATCCTCGTGGTTTTTTAAAAAACTTTTCTGTACAGTTTTAAAGTGTTTATATATGCAAGCATATTAATGAGTCTTCTGTTTCTTATCCAGTTAGCAAGTTGTATTTCTTATACTTCCTCCGTTCCCTTTTAATTGCAACAGTCAACATTTCACGTTTGCCAATGCACAAGTTTGACCATTAATATCTTTCATTCCCTATTAGTAAAAAATTTAAAAAATTCATATTTTGAAAATACAATGGGAGCCAAAGATAAGATTGGTGGAGGCTCGAGGGGAATCTCCAACAAAGTTTTGCACACAAAATGTTGGAGGAAGATGTTTGGTCTATTGATAATTACGCACACGTGGATGATATGTGGATATCAATGGAGTCCACCATTAACAAAGTGGCGAAGGAGATAATCGGAGAATCTAAAGGATGTCTGCCACCAAAAAAGGACACATCTTGGTATAATGATGAGGTGAAACAAGCAATAAGGACCAAAAGGGAATGCTATAAGAAATTGAGCAAAAGTTGGAGCGACAAGAACATAGAGGAGTACAAAGAGGCTAGAAGAAGAGCAAAAAAAGCTGTGAAGGAAGCCAAAGGAAAATTGAACAAGGAATTGTATGTAAAGTTAGATTCTAAGGAAGGAGAAAAAGATATCTACAGACTTGCTTGCCTTCGTGACTGTAGGACTCAAGATATCGGAAAAGTTAAGTGTGTGAAGGATGTCGATCAAAGGGTTAATGGACGATGAAGAAATAAAAGAGAGGTGGAAGTCATACTTTGATACCTTGTTCAACGGGAACAAAGTCCAAGGTATTGATGATCTTACTATACCAGAATGTATGGTAAATAGGGACTTCGTGAGAAGGATTCAAACAACAGAAGTTAAAGAGACTATGATAAAAATGGGCCTGATGGAGTATATGGCCCGGGAACCCCCGGCCCACAGACTCCTACTACTCCAAACAAGGCCCAACAGGCCCAGAAGGACCAACAGGCCCAAATCACAGCGCCCAGAATACCAAGCAGCCCACAATGCGCACCAGGGGTGCCTTCGGCCCCCTGATCGAGGGCTCTAACTCCCACAGGAGGGCCGAAACAGGAAAACAAGATGACTGGGGAAAACGGCGAAAATCACTAGCCCTCGGCACCTGGAGCCGTCGGCACCAAGAGGGTCCCCAGTACTCAGAGCCCTCGGTTAGTCCTCTACAGCCGAGGGCACCTTTCCGACATGATATCCGTGCCACATGCGTGCAGGTCACCGTACCCTGTACAACGTCCCATCCAACAGCCGCATTAAATGCGGCCACATGCGGTTGCCAGCGCCAACCAGTTGAGGTGACCTCTCGGCCAATGGACGCTTGACACGTGTCCCTGTCCGACATTTATTGCTACTATAAATAGCACCCCATTTCCCCATTTGTAACCACGCTGACAACGCTCCACACTTTGCAATATACTTTCTCTCTCTGCACTTACTTGCTCTGACTTCTCTCTTATTATTCCCCGTAATAACCCCTCGGATAAGCTACCCCCCGGGTACACTATCCATCAGGGCCGAAAGAAAGCAGTGGGCCCAGATGGCATACCGATCGAGGCTTGGAGAAGTTTGGGAGAGAAAGGCATCGAGTGGCTAACACGTTTCTTCAACATGATTTGGAGAAACAACAAAATGCCAGTGAGTTGACGGAAGAGTACTCGCATTCCCTTATTTAAAAATAAGGGTGATGTACAAGAATGTGCTAACTATCGAGGGATTAAGCTTATGAGTCACACCATGAAACTTTGGGAGCGAGTGGTTGAGCAAAGACTTCGTAAAAGTGTGAAAATTTTGAAGAATGAATTTGGTTTTATGCCTGGACGCTCAACAACTGAGGTCATTCACCTTCTTAGACAAGTTGTGGAGAAGTATAGAGACACTAAAAAGGATCTGCATTTTGTTCTCATTGACTTAGAAAAGGCATATGATAGGGTACCTCGAGAAGTTCTTTGATGGGCCTTAACTAGAAAAGGCATATCATGTAAGTTTATCAGCATCATCATGGATATGTATGATGCTTGTACTACAAGTGTCCGCACTAGTGTAGGGAGGACCGCAGAGTTCCCTATTACTATCGGAGTGCACCAAGGATCTGCTCTGAGTCCTTTCTTATTTGCTATAGTCATGGATGAACTTACGAAGTCAATTCAAGAAGATATACTGTGGTGCATGATGTTTGCCGACGATA